CGCCAGCGGAAACGCGTGTCAACCGTCGTGTTTCCGCGACGGTTTCACATATTTCTACCACGTTTCCGTTACGGATTCTTGATATTTCGTCCTGTGACAAACTGAAATGTTAAGGGCTAGAGGCTCATCTCTCGTGATTAAAAGGTCTAAGTGTGACCAGCGCTGTGCGTTGGCTTATCGACATGCTGCTTTAAATTTAGTGATCCAAGAAGGTTGCAAAAATCAGATGAGGCTTTGTCAGCAGCATCATCAATACGATAATTAAAATCACCAGCAACTAGAAGATGCGAAGAGTCTGTGATATATTGCTCCATTAGTCGGCCAAAATCATCAAGAAACATTGAACAATTGCAAGAAGGAGGGCGATAAATAACCAGGACACGAAATTCCCGAGAGGAAGCAGACGCGATCAGCAAGTCAAAAAACTCAAAGGAAGTAAAATCACGAGTTCTTCCAGTTGATTCCTTCACATGAAGTCCATTCTTGATAAGAATACCCACACCGCCACCATTACCGAGTTGTCTGGGCAGATGGTTAAACGAATATCCATCAGGAGTTAAATCCCCGATTACTTGATCATCGCGATCAGGATGGAGCCAAGTTTCAGTGAGAGCAAAAATATCAATATCGTTGCTAACGATGTAATCCTTTATCGGTAACCATTTGTTTCTCACAGATTGGGCGTTGAAAAGAGCAAAGCTGACTGTAGTCAGTTTCGAGTGAGAGATTGAGGGAGGCCGTGGAGAATCACAAAAAGTAAGAGATATGAGAATTCGCACCCTTGCATGCCGAAAGGTCGGCGTATAGCGAGGTCGGTTGAGAACTCGTATCGCTCTATTGTCACACCGAAACTCTTTAGATCTTCCAGCTCGTTTTCCACGATACCGCAGCAATGAGTTCATTTTCAAATTATTTAAAATTCGTGGACATGGTTTGAATCTCGGAGATTCGAAACGAAAAGAGAATAACTCATCTCTGGAATAAACAAGACGTTGTTGCGGATTTGCATAGCAGTTAAATCGCATCTGAACGTGCGAGGACAAGGACAATGGCGACGATTCGTAGCGACTGTTAAAATTTACCATGCGACTATCCACCAGACTTGAGAGGCTGGAGTTTAGAACAATAGCAGGACCAGGGTTTTTCTCGACATCCATATTGACAGTGATGTTCTTCTTTCGGATTAAAAGACAAAAGTGACCATGCCTACACCATACAGAAATCGGCCGGCGTTGTACCTTCTTTGTTGACGAGATTGCTTGTTGAACAATCCGAGCGAAATAGTCAAAATGCCGCAAGCCAGGATGTTGTAACTGTCTTGACACAAACTTAATGTTGGTAGAAAAGGGATTATTGTCCTTAAAATCAGAGATACCAGCGAAGAACAGCAGAAATACTAAATAAAACGGAACACAGTTTAACGTGGCCGCCATCATGGCGCCTACATGCGCTATCTTATGATTTTTGCCTTGATTTGCGTGCGTTGGGCTTCTATAGTTCCTATTTTAATAGCAAATAGACTTATGAAAACTCCTTAAGCGTGCTTTAAATCTTCGATATGAATACTCAATTTACCTCGTTCCGCCAGAAAACAGGAATCGAATCATGACCTATTCACGACAAGAAGCTTCAATTGTATTCCAAACCAAACGGCTACTGGTATTTGTGCGCATACATGTAGAAACATTAACATACATACCAGCTATTGCAATCGACGACTGTAAAAAAAAAGGAAAGCAAAATCTGCCATATATGCCAAGCACAACAAACGTAAAACACGCCATCCATTGTATGATTTGACGCATATGACCATGTACAAGTCATAACTGGTCAGTTACTGAATGAAATTCCAATAATTCAGATGGCTGGATAAATTGTTAATGTTCCTAATTTAAAGCTTCCCTTTTGTAGCTATTATCTATCTGTTCCCAACCTTCTGAGGCAAACACAAGCTAAGTGGATGAAACTATCAGTTAACAGTAGGCACATGGTCGTCATAATAACTTGGTGTGGTGACATTTTAAAAGCTGCGAGGTGCGCGTATAACTCACGTTATCAGTATGACTACAGAGCTCCTCCAGGAATGTCAAACTAGGCTTACTTCCGTTCCCTGATGCCTTTTTTTTTTTTCTTTTCAGGACTTGAGTTTCTTTAGGAACTACACTAAAGCTCCAACAGTGGTGTTAACAGCAAAACATTCCGCCAGTGGTGGAAATACAGCCGCAGAGTGTAACGGAATCGTCACCTGGATTGAGGTAATCCTAAAAGCCAACAATGCTTTTATTTCTCCCAGGAAGCATACGATGAAAATGTAAGGAACTTACTTCAGGATATCATAGGTTCTATCATCTAGCCTTCCGTTCTTATGCTCTTGTCTCTTTTTCTCAGTTTATCACCAAATCCGGATTTCGAATTTGTGTTAAAGAACTGTTTGTTAAACGCTTTGATCCACTAACTGTGTCATATGCAGTATTGTCAGGTGAGCAGTAATTGCATAGCATTAATACATCTAATACATTCTTAATACATTTAAAACAGTATTATTTTCTTAAAATTAATACATTTCTATACATATATCCCCGCTCAAAAAGCATACATTCAGTGATGCACCTCACCCCGAATGGAATAACATTTTAATCTTAAAAAAAGGAGCAATCGAGAGTAGATCAAAAGATGTGGCTCTACGGAGGTTTTGCACTTTCATTCACGGATAAGTTTAATTATTAAAACTGTAAAAACAGTAGACGTGAGATAAGGATGGGAAGAAGAGGGATCTGCGAGTTTCTTGGAGCATCTTCATTTAATGGGGCTAAGGTACAGAGCGCATGTCATGGATTGGCATACAATCTCGAGGAGTTGAAATTCTTCTAGCACCCTTCATGCTGCTGAATCTGCTGAATCCACTGTTTGGATGGCGCTGAGACGGGTGAGACTTAAACTTCCTTACGCTTTAATCACAGATGTTTGTCAGGATGACTGGACCTATTTCAAAGGATATTGCTACAGAAAAGTATCTTCCTGTGATTCGTGGAGTGGCGGCCAAGGGACCTGCGCTACACTGGGAGCTAATCTTCCAAGTATCCACAGTCAGGAAGAAAATGTGTATGTCCAGAGTCTACACGGTGGAGAAAAGTCGTGGTTAGGCCTGTCCGATATCAACACTGAAGGAACATTTGTGTGGAGCGATGGAACGACTTTTGACTTTCATTACTGGGCGAAACACCAACCAAACAACTTTCACAATGAGGACTGTGTTCACACTCTTGGTTTTCTCCTGGGTCATAAGTACGAATGGAACGACGTCAATTGCTCAGACTGCCACAGATTCACCTGCAAGAAAGGTAGAATTTTGTACATTTTGACTGATTTCCACGTGTAGGCAATCTCATACTATGCGAAAAACTGCAATGGTAACTAGGATTGACAGCTGAAGCGACCTATGAATTACCAGTTTAGGTATACTATTTAATGATGAAGAATTGAAGAAGAATTGAACCTTCGGGTGTTATACTTGTGAGTATACGGCGCCTTTTCTATCGCGCAAAGATTATCGCTCAAACTCTGATCAACTAAATCAGTAGCAAAGCAAGGGGTAGAAGGCAACTTCGTGAGGGAGCAGCGCGAGGGAACCTAATCGCTTGATCCCGTTTCACGCTTTCCATCACACTTTTATGCTTGCGCCAAATTGACTTTCTCCCTATTTTGGCCAAGCCGGCCATTAAGGCTACATGATCAGTTTTATCCTGTAAAGATGTCTGTCTGTCTGTCTGTCTGTCTGGCCCATACTAACTACTAGTGACGTGATTATTGAGAGATTTTCAAAGCGTTAACAGGTTTTCCAATTTCGGGAGAAAATCATAAATATTTTAAACCTGAGCAAACACCAATCAAAGGCAGTACTCAGATTTATCAAGGCCCACGAAAAACATTTCTTTATACAGATTATGATGAATGCGGCGATTTCTCGTACAACTGTCCGGTGAACACAACATGCGTAAACAATGATGGTTCTTACTCATGTCAATGCCCTGTTGGATATCGTTTGGATGGAGAGAACTGCACCGGTGGGTAAAGTAGTCCTAGCATTATTTTCCTTACAATCATTTTGTTTGTTGGAAAGGTATTTCTCCCGGATTCGTATCTCAGAGGTGTCTAAGTGAAGGTTTATGTTAGACTATAAGGGAAAGTTAAGTTTGGTGGGACACGTTAAACGTTTCCTCGCCAAAACAAACAAGCAAACTTTACAACTTCGTTTTCAGCCGTTATACAACGGCGAGAAGGGTTGCGTGACTAGACTACATTTATTAGGGAGAAAAGTTTCTTTAAAGTCTTGTTGTGACGTCAACGCCACGTGTCAGAATACTCTGGGATCTTATGTTTGCTCCTGTAAATCTGGATTTACTGGAGGTGGAAAATCCTACTCTGGTAAGATCAGGAAGTAGTAAATATAGTTTATTGCATCGAGATATAGCATTTATTCACGACATTTTAATACCATATCGCCAACAAGCGAGTCTTCGGCGAGTGAGCAAAGTGGTATTAAAACGAGTTAATAATACAATACAGTTAGCGACATTCTTTTTTTCAATGTAGATAATGTAAATCGTTAGCCTAAATCACGGAAAATTAAAAGCATGATTTTCTCACAGGATTGTTTGAGGCGCAGAATGTGTGTGCACTGACAAAAAAGAAAGAAAAAACAAACAAACAAACAAACAAACAAACAAACAAAAAAACAGGTAGTGTCCAGAGCTCTACCGTCATATAGTGGAAATAGCAATGCTTCATTCAAATTAGATGAAGTATGCATTAATATGATTTTGTATTCATAGATGTTCTCTATATTGTCATAGACATTGACGAGTGTAATGCTTCTGTCCGAGTATGTGACGTCAATGCCAACTGCCATAATACTCTTGGATCTCATGTTTGTTCCTGTAACTATGGATTCACAGGAGATGACAAAACTTGCACAGGTGAGGATATGCTCAGTGTTTTTAGGAGAGAAGGTGCATGTATTTCACAGGACAGGGAATAGAGGATATACGTACGTAGGTATTATTATTTTAGCGGAAACGGCAACGTTAATAAAACAAAAGAACGATTGTAATAGGCAGCACATTACACCTGACATTAGTCCAGCGCGGCTTGCTTATTCCATCTTAGTACATTTTGTCGCCGTTGTCTACGAAGCAACAACGTCAAATTTATTCATTCCCTAAATTCAATTCGACAAAGCGCTTAAATATTTAACTGGATGTTAGATTCTGGACAGATATAGACATAGACTGTTGCTGGGAATTGTTATGAATCTCATTAGCTATGTGTCTCGGTCAGATAAAAGTTAAGGTGTGTTATAAAATAAAGATAGTGCATATTCTGTCTTGATTAATAGACCCTTTAAATAAATGGCTGCCATTTACTAACTCCTTTGTATGCATTTATACTAGCCTCGCTAAACTCGTTTGAGAGTTAAAATTCATTTGAATTATTAACTCAAAAACGGCGCAATAAACCACGCGGGATGTTGGGAGAACACGAGAAAAACTTGTAGATCACGAGTCGTACTAAAGGCGAGTGATTTACAAGTTTCTTGACTGTTCTTCCAACATCCCAAGTGGTTTATCGCACCGGTAAACCCATAGAAAGAGTGGTCTGTCGCTTTTATGAAATAACTATAGAAAAAGTCTGTCAATGAGAGGAAAATTTATCATACTTTCGTGATCAAGCTGCTTATCCTCATCAAATTCATGAGAAGACGCGATAAACTAATCACAGCGACTAAAAGAATGAAAGCACAGACTCGGCGCAGGACAGGCAATCCTCAGAGCAAAGCGACGAAAACATTTCACGCTAACAAAGCTTTAAGAAAGGAAAGGAAAAGGTTATCGGTGAAAGGCAGAAAGTGTATTTATTAACTCAAAAGAATTTTGACGGGGAAATGTAGCCCAGGATTCGTAGGTGGAATCGGTCATCACGAAGGTAAAAGGCTGTACGAAAAGTGTGCAAGTAGTCCAAACTTCATGTGCTTAGCGAAGTGATTGAACGCAGTGTTAAACGATAACATGGAATCTATTTGTCAAATAGTTTTCATTTAGCAAAATACAGAGAAACACGGACTTCAAGGTCTTCAGAATAAGTAAATAAATTCTGAATAAATTTCGGAAGCAGCGTTTCTGTAACTAACCTAACCTTCCATTCGCAAACCTTTGGAAGTTATCACCGTGCATCGAAAGAACTTTGTAGTCAATCACAAATAAAACATGTTTTAGCGCCCAAGTTGTTGTTGCCACGTTATAAAAGAACTGGTTCATGCTTTTAGTTCTGCGTATATCTAGTTATGGATGCACTTGGGAAGGCTGGAGAGCACTCAAAAAGCTAGAGTTGCTCTCGGTTGTCTCCTCAAACCGAACTCTTACGCTTCTTTCGTGCTCTCCAAACTTTCCGCGTGCATCCATAACTCGATATACGCACGCTAAGCATGAATCAATTCTTAAATACTTCACTTACATATAATTCGCAATTAACAGCCATTTATGAAGAGGGTCAATGTGTTGTCTCAAATTGACTTTGAAGTCAACGAATTAAACCACTTGCAGTCTTGTAACCAGGTTTTGTCTTGCGGTTGTTTGTTATACAGCTGTAAAAAAGGACTGTGCTGAGCTGTACAAATCTGGAAAACGAAACAGCGGTGTGGATACAATCAACCCTGATGGATTAGGTGCCTTTGATGCTTTCTGTGATCAAACAACAGCCGGGGGAGGGTGGACAGTGTTCCAGAAAAGAATGGATGGCTCGGTTGACTTCTACCGCGTCTGGACTGACTATAAACGAGGGTTCGGTAATTTGAATGGCGAGTTTTGGCTCGGACTTGATAAGATACACCGCCT